ACCTTTGCCAACCTCTAAATAGTCTGCTGTAAATCAATCAGGTTATAAGCCTTTGAAAAGTTTTTTTTTTTTTTTTGCACATGCTCAATAGAGACTTTCAGTTTTGGTCTCTAAAATCTCCAGCTTGCATCTAGGGTTGCTAGTTGGTTTAACCAAAAATACCAAACAGCCTCCCCCTCCCCCCCCCCCCCCAAAAAAAAACCTGGGGAAAAAATTATGTTGGGGGGGAGGGGGGGGGGAAGAGGAGACCACCAAAGTTGGTGAGCTAAATAAATAAATAATAAAACAGCATTACAACATCATGGCTACTTTGAGTGCATACAAAGTCAGAATAGGGATAGGAACAGGGGAGCAGTTGAGCACTAAGACCCGGGGAAGGCATTGCTTCCCCTTGGTCTTTAGGCTTTTTGCTGGTGGCCATTTTGTTTTCTTTTATCAAGCCAGAATGCAGCTTCCCTGCAGATAAGCAGAAGGGCTGGGGATGTCAGGAGCCCGGGAGCTGGGCTTAGTTGCCGAGTGTGTCGTAGGGTTGCCAGGTGTCCAGTATTTTCACCTCCTGGCCTGGAAAAAAAATCAGAAAATATCAGACATTTTAGGTGTCCAGTATTTTCTGAATTTTTTTTTTTTTTACTGGACAGGAGGCGAAAATACGGACACCTGGCAACCCTAGTTGCATCCTCACTGAGCATATCCAAGCCTGGCCAGATTGCATATGCACTATCCCCCCACAGCACCTGGAAGGGTTTTCTTGCTTTTCTTTCAACATCATGGAGGCACAATTATGTTATAATATTAAGACTTAAAAAGGTGTAATATGAAAAATGGGATTAAGAGATTTTCTGCATGGACAGTTAGCACATGGCAAGCCAGCGTGTGAAGCTACAATTCACTAGTTTGCCCCACAGTAACTGGTCATGTGGACCCTGCTATCAAGCACTAAGAGTTCTGTAGTGCACATTGACATACTCCTATTCAGCATTAACTATGCAACTTTTTCAGTGCAGAATAGCACAGTCCATTTGGCTAGTTACTATGTAATAGGTTAGAGCAGTGTTTCTCAATCAGTGGTACTTGAGAAAAGTCTGGGGGATATGTCAATACAACTGAAATTTGGAGAAAACTGAATTTTTGTTTTATGTTTTACAGCACTTTATTATTTCTGTACTTTTTACACACACAAATTTCATCACCTACCTGGCTATAATTATATAAAACGAGTGTCCCCAGTACCTACAGATTTCATACACACATTTTTTTCTTCTATTACAACATATTTGTTTAAAGGAGGTACTTTATTTAAAAAAAAAAAGTTGAGAAACACTGGGTTAGAGCCCTGTGATTTCACAGCATGACTTACCATGCACTAACTAGGGTTACCAATGGTATAATATTAAAAATTGGACACTCCAGCAGTAGAGATGAACCTTCCCTGCCTCATCTCTTCCCCTCCACCTCAGTGCTGATCCTGCCCCATCACCCCTCCCCAACAAGTGCTGTTCCTGCCTCCTCATTTTCCCCCTAGGCTGCTACTGCTTGCTGATTTTTCCCTCCTACCTACCTGCTCAGGTCAGGAGGGGGCTCTCCTGCAATGTGCTGGGGCTGAGAGCTGCAACCACTCAAAACACATAGGGGATGGCCTGGGTAGTTGAGGGACTGGCACGGGTGATGACTCAACATCTCTCTGCCTCCCGGCCCACATGAACTGCATTTTCAGTGTTCAGTCAATAGATCTGACCAGACACTGTCAGGTCTCCTTTTCATTTGGACTTTCCCATCAAAAACCAAGCACCTGGCCACCTGAGCACTAGCGTTCCATGTAAACAAGCCCTATGTCAACTTACTGCAATTTGTACCGGATCCAGTGGCTCTGAGGATAAAATGGATCAGCTCCTAGAACTAAATGAGACCTGGGATTGTGCTGGTGGTCTTTTTCCTTATGCGAAAAGGTGAAAAATGAAGTCTTTGCACAATGAAGTCCTCAGCTGGGAAACTCTCATCTTCTTGCCTCCACTCAGGAAAATTGGAAAGGATTTAGAAGCAAGTTCGCTCCTAAGGGTGGGCCCAAGCAGGTCCACAAAATTATTAGTTGTATGGTGGAAGTCCTGAATGCTGCAGTAGGTCTAGTTAAATGAGACTGAGACAGATGGAACACCCATCCCCCCACACAAACTTTCAATAAAATTGCAGCATACATCTTAATATCCATCCTGTATGTGTGATGTTCATTTGCCTGCATGTCCTGATCAAAGCTACTTTGTCAATAGGGTGTGAATGTGTTTTAAAAATTGTTAAAAAGCTTTGGAACCTCTGAGTTTCAAAGGTAACTTGCAACACTTTTTTGTGGGGGTTAAGTAATAGATAAAAACACAAGTTGATTAGTGAAATATGTATAGAAAAAGATCATTTTAGAAGCTTAATCCTTTGTTACAAGATAATATTGTGTACGATCCATCTTTTACAAAAGCTGTGACTTTGAAGTAATGTTGCTAACATATGCTGTGAAAATATTTAAAAAATGTTTTCCTCATATACTGAAAAAAATACACATTATTTATTAGGATCGCAAAAATGTTTCTCGTAGTATTTCTACAGTATATGGAAAGGCATATTTTTAACAGAATCTGTAATAGTTCCACAGGCTTTGGATATAGCATTAGGAATCTAAAATTGTAATAAAGCTCGCATGCAAACTGTCTTTGACCTTTTCTTTTTTATGGAACAAAATCCATACCCATGTTTCTGAAGCTGATTACTAAGCCAAGAATTTTTCCAAAAAAGCTATTGTAAATTCCAAAGCCTATACTCGTTCTTTATTTGCATACGTCACAGAAATAGCATCCTCTGTCACTGAAAAATTAGGAACACATGTTTTCAGATGTTCAAGTTGATGAGAGTCTTGTATTTGTGTGTATGGTGCGTGGGTTCATTGCTAACTAACAGCACACCTGTTTTGGATAGTAAATTAAGTGATGAATAGCTCTAGTGTTTTTTGCCTTGGCATGTGGTCTACTCTATCAGCACAAATATTTTTATGACTAAAGAGAGTTTTTGCAATGAGGTTTAAACAGCTGTATCTCATGATTAGTATTTTCATATAAGGTCCACTCTTTAAAGTAAAAATTGTAACTTTTCACGTTTAAAGGGTAGCATGTTTTGTGGCTGAAAAATGTATTAGCTGCTGCAGTCAAATAGCACATTGTACCTCTAACTTTACAGATGTGTGTATAAATATCTGTTTAATGAATCGTAAAATCCTTTCCTTTAAGGCTTGATGAGCGCTCTTTACCTTGAGTTACTACTAGAAATAGAGTTTAATTATTTAGTAAATGTAATTCATGGTGATAATCTACTGCCTCTCTGGTGGTGGTCTATGCTGATAAGCATTTCATCCAAGGCTCAGTCCCAGGAAGCAGGTCTTTTGCTTTCAGTGCTGGCAAGGATTGGGAGTGTCTTGGAGTCAGTGTCTTAGAAATCGGAGGAAATGGAAGTGCCTTAATATGTAACACTTCCAGTTTGACCAAGGAGCATCATTCAGGTGTTTCAAAGAAAGTATGTTGTTTGGATTCTGTCCTGACTCTTTACTAGCATGCAATGTGATTTGTGAGCCACTTCCTCACCTTCTCTGTGTCTCTCTGTAAAATAGGTATACCCATCTTTAAAGTGGTGATCATAGAACACTAGAACTGGAAGGGTCCTCGAGAGGCCATTGAGTCCAGTCCCCTGCCCTCACGGCAGGACCCAGTACCGTCTAGACCAGTGGTTCTCAACTCGTTTCAGTCCACGGACCACCAGGCTAATCAAAAAATTTTCGTGGACCATCCTTGATAGATGTCTGTCTCTAACCTGCTCTTAAATATCTCCAGAGATGGAGATTCTACAACCTCCCTAGGCAACTAGTTCTAGTGTTTAACCACCCTGACAGGAAGTTTTTCCTAATGTCTAACCTAAACCTCTCTTGCTGCAGTTTAAGCCCATTGCTTCTTGTCTTCTCCTCAGAGATGTAAGGCCTTGGATGCAAGGCACTGCTATTTCATGCTGTGTGCTTATTGTAGAGTGTTGTATGCATTTATGCCTCTGTATAAATGCTATACATGCAGAGGTTGTGATTAACAGATCACATCAGGATTTTGCCCATGGAAGGGCTTCAGTGTTAGTTGTAAACCAGTTTTGGTGTGGCCACTACTTGTCTCCGCTTATCGGAAGATCGATGTAGTGGAGATTGATCTCTTGGGGTTTGATTTAGCAGGTCCAGTAAGGGCCCTCTGAATCAGTGGTTCTCAACCTTTTTTACACAACAAACCCATTTGTAAACTTTTGGCTCACCAGTACAATTTTATTTATATATCCATTATGCAAACAATGAATATGCAAATAAAATGTTACCAGTCTGCCAAAAAAAAAGGGCCCCAGAGCCACTGCGAACAGTTGGCTTCAGCTCTGCCAGCCCCCACCATCAGTGCCAGCCTCCTGTTTCCAGAGCCCCAATGCCATAGGGGGCCACGTCACAGGGACATGTGGCCCTGGCCTCGGCCACTGGAGGAGCTGCTGCAGCCATGTGGCTCTGGTTAGAGCTGCTGGAGGAGTTGCCAGCAGCTCTGGCCCCAGATGCCAGAGCAGCCATGGGCTGCTTGCCATATGGCTCCAGCCCCAAGTGGGGCTGCTGGAGCAGCCACAGGCTGCCTGTGATGTGTCTCCAACTGTGGCCCCCGCTGGAGCAGCCACCACCTAACACGTGGTCAGCCCGGGGAAAGGGCTGAACCTAGGGCCAGGGCAATGTGGTGACTTCCCTGCACGTAGCTAGAGTGGCATATCTTAGGTCACTTTCTTCTCTAGTATAGACCTGGCCTCTGCAGACCTACATTTGCCTTGAATTGTTTCCTCTTTCATTTTTTGTTCTAAAGTGTATGTTTAAAAATGAATTGCATAATAATTTTGAAATATTGGGAAAATTAGATACTCATATAAATTGCATATACATGATATTTTCTTTTTGTTTGCAGGACTTAAATACTATCTATTATTATCTTCATGGAATGGACATATTGTCACATCTCAGGGAACATCAGCTAAGGTAAAGGCTATGGGGGCATCGCATAGTCCACTACAAATTATATCTTTTTTAACTTTTTGTTCCAAATGCTCCAATAATAAGTGTTCCAGTGATCTTAGCATAGTGATACTCAGTCCATAACTCTGAGCTGCATGTCACTCTTTCAAATGTAGCCTGTGACTCTTCAAGGCTCCTTCCCGGAATGATGCAAACAGTTGATTTGTGGTGTTCCTTGAGAGAGTTCAGGGATAGAGCAAGTTCCTGGGGGCGGGGAGACCTCTTCTCTTATTTTGGCCCTGGCAGAAGGGCTAAAGATACAAGGGATGTTGTAAATCGCATTGATACATTGAATAGTAAAGGTATGGGTGGAGGAAACAAAATAAACAGCATGATGTGCTCACTCAACCAGTGGTTTAGCTAAATTTAGTTTTCATTGTACTGAAAATGGATAGAGCAAGTTCCTGGGGGCGGGGAGACCTCTTCTCTTATTTTGGCCCTGGCAGAAGGGCTAAAGATACAAGGGATGTTGTAAATCGCATTGATACATTGAATAGTAAAGGTATGGGTGGAGGAAACAAAATAAACAGCATGATGTGCTCACTCAACCAGTGGTTTAGCTAAATTTAGTTTTCATTGTACTGAAAATTAATTTAATTTTTTTTGTTATATAAGTAGTTATATATTTAATATTATTGTATGTGTGCATTTGGGGAGAGTCTTCATTGTGAGATCTGCTCCTCAGTATAAAGCTTACTGCAGAGCCTGCAGCGAGTGTAATCACTAGGATTTTTAGTGGTTACACGGTTACATTTTTAAACCACTTTTTGCCTACTCTCAAGTCACATAACTGTGAGTACCACTGTTTTAGCACGTGTGAAATAAGAGGCAAACAAGACAGAAGCACAAAATATGCATTAGAAGTACCTCAGTTCTTATTCTGTTGCTATGGTTAATTCCAGTGTGTAGGAGTAATTTAAACACTCAGAAAATATATTGTGTGTTACCTGCTTGGATAATGAAAATTTCTTTTAAGCTTTAAGTTATGGCTCATGAAGTAAAGCCAGTTTTGTAGTCTTTCATATGACTTCCCCTTATACTTAAAGAAAGTGATGTTGCTGAAAAATTAATAGATGAAAATGTTTTTAGAGTTTAAAATCTAAACTGAAGTTTAATTTTCCTCAGAATAATGTCTTCTAGTGCTCGTTATGAAAGATACGAAGGCAACCAAGTCCTTTTTTGGTAAGTACATTTAAGGTACAATCATCACTCTTATAGTGGAGAAATTAAATAAGTGGGTGCATGTCAAATTATGTGTCATCACAGATCGTAACAAATGCCCCTTACTGATCACTGACTAGGATTGCTGAGAGGGGAATCCAGGCTTCTGGGATTTCCAGGCTGTTACATGTTCCTGAAACTTGAACAGAATCCAACCATTGCCCAATCTCAGGGTCTTTAGGCTCAGTCCTTCAGGGTGCAGACTCTTTATCTGCAATGAGAGTGTTGGCATTCCTCTGGGTGCAGCACTGACTTTCGGACACCCTCTTCCTTAAATATACCCTCTCCCAATACTTCAGCCCAAAATGTGCGAGGCTTTAGATTTATAGTGCAACTCTCTCAGGGGCATGGCCTCTCCGCATGGCCTGGGGAGGATAGGGTCATGGGTTCAAGTCCCGCTTCCCCCGGGTCAGGTCTGGTTGGGATGGGACGGCCAAAAGCCGAGCAGCCCCGGGGCAGAAGGCATAAGGGGTGGCCTGACGGTAAGGTGGTGGGGCAGGTTCCCGTGTGGCCTAGGGGATCGGGCGCAGTCAGCATATTTACATGCACACATTGCCAAGTCTAACATCCTTATCCTTAATCATGTAAAGCACAAAAGAATACAGATCTCAAACCCTAAGTGTCCCTCACTTCCTAGTTTGTCTTTCCCTTGTGAGAGCTTGGAGTTCAGGAAGGTAGGCAGGGAGAGTCCTTTGTCCCCTTTCTTACACTAACCTGCAGCAACCAATCTCAGTCTGGTGCAAAATTGCTACCTCACCCTCCCTTTTGGGTCGGGGGCCACTGACCCACAGAAAAATGAGCTGGGGGGCCAACTGAGGAGGAGAAAGAAACTCCCCACATTCTCTTTGCATACCAGAGCCTGAGGGGGTCCCAGGCTAATAGATTTTGTGCTCCATCCTCATAGTGACACGATGGTTGAGCTGGAGTGCCAATGTGGGTTCCCCAATGCTGGGAGGGAGCCCTGAGCCTCGGTGGCTGGATCTAGGCAAGCTGGGGCCACATCTCGCCCTGGGCCTTAGGTTCTCCACCCTGCTTTATAGACGTCATCTGCTTTTGTTTTGCTTCCTGGTAACTTTCTATTACTTCCAATCCCCACCTCCATCAGATAAGAGAAGGAAGTGTCTTTTACCAAGTATTGCTAAGCCATTGACTCAAGGTTTGTATCACTTTGAAAAGGCCATTGTTGAGTGCTTTTTATTCACTAATGTCTGTGGCTTGGCAGAGAAATGACACTGCCTTCGTAATTGACTAGTGATCCATCTATTGGTAGACTTTCTATGCCAGTAACTTCATATTACAATTTCATAAAATCATCCATGATTCAAAAGTGGTACAGAAAAAAACCAACAAATTGTCCTATATGTACACTTTGTCCTACTCATAGCACATGTCAAGGACTGCAAATTAAGTGTGATTGCATATACATGCAAATATATGTGCAAATAGCTTCTTTCACACTGACGGGCATGAATCCAGAGCACTTCCCACAATGCCCTGGTGCTCCCAGGACATCTTCTCTGGGGGTTAGAGACACCGATACCCCACCTGGGAGATGCCTTGCCATTGTGGAGCATGTTCCCAGTGGAGCCCATGTTCAATGGATTCCACTCGTGGGTAGTGTATTGAACCTCGTGTAAACCCAAACCACATTGCGGGTCGCACACAAACGGGCCATGAGCCTCATGCAGCCTGCGTGCTGCGTAGCCCTGGTGTCGTCTATTGCATTAACCTATAAGCTTTTGCTTATCAGTTAATTGACTACACTTTTACATCCCTACTCCAGAATGTATTTTTCAAATGCATGGAGATAACATATAGACATGATATTGGTGTGCAGTAGATGGCATTCTTCCCTGGGGGTACATCTACACAGCAGCACTGTTATTTTGGAATAATTGATGTTATTCTGAAGTAACATAGTCCACGTCTACTCTACAACGTTATTTCAACATAATGTCAAAATAACGTTGAGCTGGAGGACTTCTAAATCCAACTCCTGTAACCCTCGTTTTACGAGGAGTAAGGGAAGTCAGAGGAAATATGCTCTTTCTCAAACTTCTTGCTATATAGACAGCGCCAAAAGCTGAAATAAGCTATTTCTACTTAAGCTACGTAATTGACATATCTCAAGTTGCGTAGCTTATTTTGGCTTTAGCTCTGCTATGTAGATGTGCCCTTGGAGGAGTTGTCCTTCATATAGTTAGGAGTTGTGATTGTTGACGAAGCACTCTAGCATTAGGAATTTGAAATGTTAAATCTGATTTGCTTTTGATAACTTAAAAATCCTGTGACACTTTAGAAATAGCTAGTTCTGGTGTCTTTGCTAATCTCCTACTTCAGCTGTGGCCACCCTCTCCCCCCACTCAGGTGCGGCTCATAAAGCAGCCCCTGCACCTCTGAAAATGACTCCTGGCTCCCTGTGCTCACCAGGGCAGGGGAGCTGTCTGGCACAGCCATTAAAAATGGCATTTTCAAGATGGTGTCGGCCAGCGGGAGCCTGATGTGGCCCAAAAGCCTCTAAACGCGTTTCTTAAAGGGGCAGGTTTTTTTCACAACTATTTTGGCCACCTCTGTCCTACGTGGACATTAAATAGTTTTATCTAATTTCATCCCATAGTTTGTTGTGGGACAAATATATTTTCTTGCATCCTGTCCTAAATTTATTTTACGCTATTAAAATGCTAAAGAATTTTAGTACTGGTGATATTATTTTTTGTGTGTGTATGCATAGTTTGTAACTTGGTTTGGGATGAAAATATTTTAAATACAATTTAACATAAGCTTATTTTTGAATATTCATTTTTAGTTAGGTCAAATATTCTAGGGTTAAAGTAAATTTCTGCTTAAAATTTTGCACAGACCATTCTATTTTAATGTAAATGAATACTTCAAAATGTTAATTTGTAGCATTATATCAGCAATGTTCTTGGTTTTAAATCTACAGTCTAATTTTCATTATGGTAAAATGTGGAGCTTCAATATGAGGGTGACAACTTAGATAACATACAGTTATTTTGATTTTCTTTCCTGCAGTTCAGAAACTATTGCGAGATGTTGGTATATTCTTCTTTCTGGATCTGTCCTTATGAAGGACTCCATGTTTTTACCACCACGCAGGTATGTTCATGTTACTTTAACTGCTTGAAGGGACATTTTCAACATATATATTAAAATACTTCCTTGCAGAAATGATTGCTTTAACTTTTTCACTTTTAATAACTTAAAATATAATTTACTTTTCATTATTTTTGAATTTGTCTCAGATTGAGCATTGAAAATCAAATGTAACTTTACATTTACAAGGCTCCAGTTATAGTTCTCAGTGTGCTAGAGTGTACATAGCAAACACTGAATCAGAGGCACTGATAATTAAAAATGGCTCCTGTTGACCATATTCTAAATTTAAGGCAGGGTTTCTTTTTGTTTTGGGCTCTTTAATAAAATCTTACTTTTACATAATCTAAACTTTGGGCCATATGATTTGACATTGTTCTCCTTCTCCTCACAAATCTGGCTGCATAACAGTATATTCCATAAGAACTGGAATTATGTTCAATAGTAGTGTATGAGTTTTATATGAAGTAAAAGAGGACTGCTGTCAGTCACGGTAAGACATGATAAAAGTCTGACGGTTTTAAATTTGGAACATAATGAACATTGTGACCTGTTTAAACTGGAGCATAACATCTGACTTGAGTTAAATCTGGCTACATGGTATTATTCTGTTTGACCTTGTAGGTCATTCTGAATTTTTACTTCACTGTGTTATGAAGCCATAACTGGAATATTTGTGCTCATGGTACATATTCAGGATTTGTAATTAAGAGCATCAGGTTTCCAGTCTGGAGGATGAGGTATAATTTAAGATTAATGCCTTCTCTATGAAGAAGCAACTTGACTATATCTGATACTCTGTATTGAAGTCATTAATTTCCTTGTATATTGAAATCTGTGTGTCTGGTGGTGGGGAAAGCTTGTCCTGCTAATGTAGTGAAATAATGACAGTGTAAATCTATAGCACTATCACATCTATGATCATGAAGGCCATGCTGGTAAAAAATTGTCAGATATGTCCATTGAGACAATTTTTTTTATAATTTCAAAAAGAGGTTTTATTGAAGCAAATGAGAAATTCTTGAGCTTTTTGCTCCACTGTTATTTCAGAGATAGTATTGTCTATTTTGTAACTGCTGATGTCCACAAACAGTAAAGATATTTGATCCTGATGCTACAAACTGTTAAACGTTGAAGTCAAAAGATCTGTCTCTGATAGTTTATTTTTTAAGAAAATACATTATTGTCATTGATTGAGTCCACTTGCCTTTGGCGTCTAAAAAAATAGAAGTACACACTGTCTAAAATTGGTCTGTCCTTGTCGCACGTCTGTTTTCAAGCTTTGGAATGGATCAAAATGCAACTTTAAAAAAATTAATTACGATATGAACTTATCTCTCCATAAAATTATTGTTTTTCTTCAGTTACTGAGATGTTTAGTTTCTCTGTGCAAATTCTGTCAAAATAATGTTTTACAAAAATCTAGTTTATTAGTAATGCAAACCAGTGCTGTGATAGGACTCTCTAGTTTGAAATTGATTGAACTTTCCATCAGTCATTCCAGAATAAAATTGACAAAGTGGAAAAAGTTATGGGACAAATGATTTCTTCAGAATGAGGTGTCTGGGACAACCAGTTTAAATAAGTCATTCATTTTCATTGTAGTGCAGAGCTGATTAACCACTGTGGTTCCTGCTGCTATATTTTGACAGTTTATTCATTGTCAGCAGTTGTTACTTTTTTTTACACCAAATAGAACATAATAGGCAACTGCTTTTTAACGTTTTAAAAAACAAATCCTAGCCCTGAGACTGTGGGAATAAGTTTTGAGCAAGGAGAAAGTGAATTTGTTATGTTTAAACTAGATTATCTTAATGTGTATTGCTATATATTAGCAAAGCCTATGCGTACTACTGTATACAACTGAGTACTAAATACTTTCCTTGCCTCTTGTCTATGTAATATGTGTGTATACAGATGCACTATTAATTCACACATTGATCTTCCCCACTTATAGCCTGCCGAGTTAAGGCAAGCTGAGAATTTGTGTGAGGACTGTGATCTTGAACTCAGGAGTTGGAGACTGTATTGCAGGGGAGCAACTCTGAAGGGACTTTCCCATTTTTTTACAGTTGCTGGCTAAGACAGTTGAGTTTGAGTTGAAACCAAAATGAGACTACAGTTGTCACAAGTTATATCTGGTTTGGGATCCTTCTATCTAAAGGTATGTCTAGACTACATGGCTCTGTCGACGGAGCCATGTAAACTGGTTTACCCAGCATAGTCAATGAAGCGGGGATTTAAATAATCCTCACTTCATTAAAATAAACATGGCCGCTGCACTGTGCTGATGATCAGCTGATCCGGCACAACGCCGTAGTCTAGATGCGGATCTGTCGGCTGGGGATGCATTTGCCGACCGATCCTGTAAACCTCGTTTCACGAGGCATCGTGAAACGAGGTTTACAGGATCGGTCAGCAAAGGGATCGGTCGGCACAGTGCGGCATCAATGTTTATTTTAATGAAGTGAGGATTATTTAAATCCCCGCATCATTGACTATGCTGGGTAAACTAGTTTACATGGCTCTGTCGACGGAGCCATGTAGTCTAGATATACCCCAAGAGGGTTACCATATCCTTGCATCCTGTTTTGGACCAGCTGGTGAATGTTTACTTCACACCTCTGATCTTCTCTTGGAGTCACTGAAAAGGAAGTTTATCCTCTAGACTGGGATTTTATCTTCTCGGTCTCTTGCCTCCTTTGACCGCTTGGTGGAAGGTGGCCTTTGCTAGTGTTAATTGTTAAACTTTTTGGTGCTGTCTTTTCTTTGGTTTGCCAGCTCATAGCTAAAGCCAATTAATGTGTGGTTTGCTACCATTTTATTTCACTTTTATAAGAGAAATACCAGAAGTTTAAAGTTAGTCCACAAAGCCGGTGTAGGCAGCCTTTGATATAAGTGAGATGATGGGAAATGCTGCTGCCTCAGGGGTGGATCTGCTGCAGGTGCAGGGCCTTAGGATGCAAGCTGTGTGGGGAAGGGAGTGGCAGCTTTGTAACAGGATACAGTATTTAGTACAATGGAACCCAGATTTGATAAGGACTTCTGGAGAATAGTCAGGTTAGTAACCTGTGTGACCTCTACTTTTCATGTTGCATAGTATTGTTTGTCACCTCACGTTCCCATTTGTTTGTATCTGTCTGTTTCTTGTCTTCTATTTAGTAAATTATTTTGGGAGTACAGACCATATTCCATGACAGAGATACCAGAGTACCACTACAAGAAAAATAATAAATAATGGGTGCCACTTTGATATTAATAAGTTAGTCTCTTTTCTCACTGCTACCAACTAGTAAATTATTAAATTGAGATTCAGAGAAGTAGAAGCAATGAATGACAGTATTAAAATTTTTGGCACTATTGAATCATTTTACCTTTGCTTCCTGCCAATACATCATTTAATATACAGTTTAACAGGTGTAGGTAGGCTTAAAATAAAATAAGCTTTCAATTTGTTTTATACATACATACACACATTGCAGTTACATCTGTGCTCTCAAATTTTATGGCAAGAACGTCTAAGAACTTACAGGACTGAAATGTTTGTGTGCTTAGTATCTAACTAGAGGCAGGAAATTAAACTCTCCAGTATCCTGGAGTGAAGTTCTGCAATGCCTAAAGCCATCAGTGGATATGTGTATAAAGCCTGCAGAAAGACCGCATTGAAATGGTGTGCTTACCTGAATGTTAGGAGTGGATGATTTACGTGACCTATGTAAAAAAAATAAATTGCAAGTCTTCCATAAATTATTAATGAGATTTCAATTGCTTGTAGAGGGGGTAATGAGGGAAAGTGGCTGCTAGCTTATACTATGGGTCAGAATGTTCTGTTGTATGAAACTGTTTACAGTTTAAATCATGTGGTTCTTGGTGTTTCTTGGGTCTACTTAAGCAATGAGATCATCTGGGAAGGAAATGAACATTCTTTCCTTTTGGATAACGAGACCATGTGCATCGATGTACAAAAGGCTCGAAGGAAAAAAAAATCTGGCACTCAACAACCTCAATTAAATTAATAACAGTATTTTTATTAACTATGACAATGAAAAGCTTCAGAGATGTTGGCCTTTTCTAAAATCATATAAAAGGTTACAATTACTTCTTGCTTTTCTAAGAAGAATGTTCAACTTTTCTATGAGAAGAAAAAAAATGGTGGCAAAAGAATTGATGTGTCTCCACCCACAATCAGGTGGCACTAAAAAAAATGAAATTGCCTGTTAAAACACAGTGTGCTTTGCTTGGCCCGGAAAAGTTATTTGGTAAAAAAGGAAAAATTAATGTACAAACTTGTATAGCAGTGTAGTAAATCAGGCTCTGCACAGCAGTCTATCTTAATTCTGCAGTTCAGAGCAAATTTTCTCAACTATGTACTCTAGATAAGTGATTCTCAAATAGGTACATGTAGACCTAGAAGTTCTCAAAGGTCTTCAGGAGGGTGCATCCATTTATCTAGATTTTTGCCTGGTTTTACAATAAGCCACATGAAAAGTCAGTATAAACTAACATTTAATATAGATAATGACTTATTGATACTGATCTATATACAGTATTGTAGACTGCAATATAAGTGCAACAGTTGATTTATTTTATAATTATATAAATGAGTGTGAGCAATTTTTCAGTGATAATGTGCAGTGACACTTTTTTTGTAGTTTGTCTGATTTTGGTATGCAATTAGTTTTTAAATTAGATGAAATTTGGACATAAGCAAGACAAGTTAGACTCCTGAACAGGGTACAGTAGTCTTGAAAGGTTGAGAAATATTGTTCTAGATATATTTTAAGAATCACATTAGGCTCATATTTGTGATTAAATCATCATGTGTGTGATTGTGATGACTGACATACTTAGGATGCGTTTATACTGTATCCTTACCTTGACATAGCTTATTTTGAACTTTGGTGCTGTTTAGATATAATCCGTGATGCCAATTTTCCTGATTTGATCACAAGCCTCCTGATGATTGTTTTATTTATTTATTTTTTCTAGAAAGCCCCAGCCAC